TCTCTCTCTCTCTCTCTCCTTTTATTGGCATGACTATAATTAAATAAATACTATAGCCAAACCATGTTGTGTGAGGTTAACAATGTCTCAGACAAAACACACATGCAGACAGAGAGGCTTGTATAAAATTCACTAAAATAAATATTAACATCAGTATTTATAAAATAAATAATCTTACACAATTCAGTCAGTCAGTAGCTACTGTCTGCTGCCATTTAAAACAACACAGAGAGTTTTCTTTATTATCCCAGAAATAGGCCTATATAAAGAGAAAGTAAGCTATGGTGCATTTATAGTATAATCAACCTATAAAATAACTGTTATACAATTACATAAAATATACTCAGTTGTTCATTAGAAAGTCGGATAACAACTTTGATACATATGTGAGAAGTGTTTGATGAAAATAGGTCTTCTTTTAAATACACTAACTGAGTAATCCACATATAAAGTGTCATTTAATATTGATTAATCAGACACTGTGGTGTGACAAGGTCACTCTGGCAGTCCGGACAGGCGCGTGGTGGTAGTTTGATAGCGACGTGAGCGCGCTCATCCACCACCTGAGGGCTCGCGGACAGTTGACAGGACCGCCAGCACGGCACAGCTCGCGCTCGGCAGTGTCTAATCAGTGTTTTTATTTCACTTTGTATTAATCAGCCGTTAAATCCGGTTAAAGTAGGAAGTTAAAGTAAACTGACCTCGTTACAAAGCGCCGAATTAACGGGAGGAAAATGCAAACTGCGGGTAAGTGCTGGTTGAATTTCACTGCGCAACTAGTTTTTGTCTTTAAAGTGATTTCTTATTTGTTATTTTATCGCTCACATGTGTCAGTGGTGTTGTCTTTAAGCAACCTGCGGTCTTGAAGTTGTATTTAAAAGCACGTGGACATATTTTAAGTCATAATAGGCGTCCGACAAAGGTTGTGCAGCTTTAAACATTAGGTGTTTGTCACATCAGTGACACTGTTCAACTGTTAACATGTTGAATTTTGGTTTGTTAAGGTGTTATTGGCTCCATATGGGACTTGAGAATACGATGTGATTCATTACATAAACAGAGTTTTAATCAGGGATCTCAGGGATGTTCTTATTAATGCTTCTTAACTCAAACTGTTTTTTCCTCCAAATGTTTTAAAGCTATTATACTGTATATTTGGACCTTTTAAATTGATATTAACTACAGGCATGTTTTACCTCAATGTGTACTGACAGGAAGGGGGAACAGCAGAGTGATATGAAGCCAGGGAGCTTGTTGTGCCTGATGATTTAGACTTTAATCCTTTCTGTTTTGGTGAGTTGTGAACTGATAGAAAACACAGCTGTATTTTGAAATAGGCTTTAAAATGATGTAATGATTGTGAACAACTGAGAAAAACTGAGAGACAAACTGCTCTGAAACACCTGTGCAGTACACATTTAGTAATACATTTATATTTAAAGGGTGCTCTTGTCTTAACGTACAATCGTTATATTACACACAGGTAGATACGTAGGTTTCACACATTTATTGCAGCCATGTCAACACTAGTGGATGAAGCAAGTTGAAATCAAGTGGCAAGAATCAAGTTGCTGGGGATTTTTCAGTGAAGCACATTGGGTAAAAAGGTTGGACCGAAGTACAGGATTATAAGATGACAGCAGCTTATTCTCTTTAGGCTATTTGTTTTATTAGTATCTATAATTTAAGGTAAAGATATTATAGAGCATAATTCAAGTTATTAGTCCAATGCATACATCCAATGCACTTAGCAAGTAAACATTATAGCTAATGATGTTTTAGGGCACTCCAGCAATTTATGCATTGCACTTTTATAAAGGTAACAGATAACAAACTAAAATTAAAAAAACACTGCAAAAATGATGACGCAGAGGTTAACATATCTCTTTTTATTTCCTATTATGGGTTAAGCTCCAGAAGTCCGGGATCCTACACATCCCATAATACAAGTCAGTTCAGCTACACTGTCCCTGCCTGGTCAATGCACACATCTTTCAGACATCATGCCCCATTTTGGTTTGTAGTCTCTTTGATTTTTTATTCTAGAAATAGATTACAACAGATATTTTAAAAAGAAGTGGGATAAATACTACATTGTGGTATATTATATGTACTTTTGTGGTACAGTATTGCAATCCAGCTGTTGTATGGTTGTGTCCTTTAGTAGTTTAGTCATACACACATTTTAGAAATTGGACCATGTTTTGCGTGTGCAGAATAGGGTTCCAGCAGTATAAAGATACCAAAATGTACGGTTATCATACCTTTTATATTTGCTTATCTACTGTATTGAATGCTACTATATAGAGTTATTTAAAAAATATAGTACATGGTATTTTGTGAATAATAATCGTGAAGTACTGTGAAACCATGATATTTTTGCTTATCGTAGCAGGAAAAATACTGTTGCAACCCTGTGTGGATCACCTGTGTTGTGATACTACTGTTATCGTGGGCAATGCACAGTGTGTGGTGGTAACACCATAACGTACCCCGTAACTTACATCCCTTTTTTGTGCTGCTTTTAAAATGCAAATATCTACAAATAGCATCACTGTGCTGTTCTTGGGCAGCTGATACAGTCATTACATGCTGTAGGATTGTGCACTGGTCAGGTGGCAAGAATCCCAAACATGTTGGACTTTTTCCTGAAAGTTTTCACCGACTGACTGGAAAAAGAAAACATTTAATATAATGCAACAGATATAAAGTTAAACACACACTACCTTCGAGAAAGTTGAATCTTGTCATTGTTGATGTAAGGTCAGAGTAGAGTTACGCTCTGTGGTCATGGTATTGGTGTTTGCTTTCTAAAAAGGTGAAATGATTTTCTATTTGATAACAGTTACAAAGCCTCCTTGACAGTGCACTTATTTACTCCGTGGACTGAATGCGTGTCTGTGTATCTAAAAGAATAGTTGAGGTCTAAGGATAAAGCTGTAAAAAGTAGTAAAGTCTTATTAGTCTTGGTTGTGTACTTGTCAATTTTCGGAGTATTTTGAGTTGGTGTAGACTCAGAGTTTTAACCAGCACATTGCAACCTGCACTATCTTAACTCCCAGATTAACATTTGGCCGTCGTCACACTATGACCTCGATCACTGCACACAGCTGAAGGAGGGCCGGCAGCAGAAAAGTTTCAATTAGATGGAATAAGGCCCGGCGCCAAGATGACTCCACATTTGTGCTTATTATCAGATGTTTTCATAAGAGTGTGTGTGTTGTTCATCAGTGAATTACAAATGTTTGCCCAGTTCAGAGCTCACAGTATTTACCTAACTAACCAACAAATATCCCTATTCCCTACGGGATCAATAAAGGATAACTTGATCTTGTCTCTTATGTGATAATTATAAGCAGGACTACTTATTAACACACTTAGACAATAAACTGAATTCAGTTTGATGGATTACTTATAAGCAAGTTGTTCCTGTAATTAGATTTCCATACTATACTGCATTAATCTGAGACTAGTGGCTGGCTGGAATTTGGTAAAATTACTATGTCTAAAAACTCCAGCCATTCATTGTAAATGAGCTAAAACATTCAGAATCCCATTGTGGTCCTTTTGACTTCAAACTTATATTAAAATGTGCACGTTTGAAAGGATAAGCAACACCATCAGGAAAATGTCACAGTGAATATGACTCTTGATAGTAAAGTCTAATATCACCAATATTCAGTTAGAGTTTACTCTTTGTGACACCCATTACTGTTTGGCGCTCTGGTGCTGCTGCAGCTATTAGCTGCGACATCTGAATGACGCCACCAGATCAACACTTCAGTAGAACTGTATTGATCAGAAAAGCTAAAGGTTACTGCAGTGTGTTGTAATGTCACTGTCACTTTTGTTTTGATCAGGCACAGCTATACAGCTGTTGCAGTGGCCCCTTGGTGCGCATTAAACATTTATAAAATCTACCCTGTAAAGTCTAATAGAATAATTCAGCCTGAAATGAACGAGATATAGAAAAAAGACCCGACACAGAGAGCACTGTGACACTGTGGGAGAGGGACCCAGTCTGTGTCCTGGTTAATAACACCCACTGATCAATAAACAGTATCGATGTCTCTATATTTGCATTGTGGCATCGCAGTGTAGAGGGTCACTTTTGTTGTGTTGTACACTGTGTACACAGCGTTGATTTAACACCCCATTATGAAATCATCCAGACAAATTTAATGATGTAACAATAAAGGAAGGAATCTATGTATGTATATGTATGCATCTATGTTGATTTACTCGACAACCGTTCATCTGATCCACGTCACGCTTGGAGAGTTTATTGCTGAGGACTCAAGGAAGTGCAGTGTGACATTTGGTGCTATTTTGCCAGATGGTGGCGCTATAACAACAAGCTTTATGTTCTAACCTGTAACTTTGTAACCTGTAAGTCTCAGAAACAAAACAAAAAAGTTTTTTCCTGGATTGGCATCTAACTAGGAATGAATCTCTGTCTGCTGTACAGTATGTTTATGACTGTCCTTCACATACCTTGAGAACTGTTCATGTGATCGACTTCACACTTGGCGGGTGTCTTGCTGAGGACCCAAAGAGGCGAAGTGTCAAGTGTGAAATCGAAATCAATCACATGAGTTGGTTCTTGAGAATGGTGCAAGCAGCCAGACCATGGTTTTTGACAGCTCTGCAAGTAGCACGTCCAGGGGCCAAGCAATCAGTCCGTTCTACACGGGCACACACTCCAAACCGGTGTGTGTGCATGAAATGCTTCATAGAGCAGCATTATCTAACACTATTTTACTCAAACTGTTGTTTTTAGAACATACAAACAGGAAATAGGTTAGAGATCATATGTTACACGAGAGGCAAGAAAAACGATAGATAAAATTAAGAACATGGTTTATTCAGGGCCTTGTCCGATGACACTGAAATCATATTCCCTGCAAACCTAATCTGACCACATAACACCTTAATATGGTCAGATAATCTGGATAGAAAGAGGACACGAGAGGTGCTATATAGAGAGACAGTACATGCATGGTGAGAAAAAATAGAGACAAAGATAGGTGGTGAAAGTGGTCTACTCTTGCTAATTCAAACCCGTGAGAGTTGAAATTGAATTAGACTGGCTTCAACACCTTTGTCTGTGCACTCCCATACAGCTGCTTGTGGTCAGGTTTGCTCATGCATCAGGGGCTATTTTAAAATAATCCACAAGCCCTGGATGATAGAGCACATTAGCAGTGTTTTTCAGCAAGTGTTGGGTTATCATTATGCCAGTAAATGCTGCCCAGTCAGGACTATTTGCATGAGCTATGGAACAGTTATCTGCTGCTAGAAGACCGAAAATCAATCCAAGAGGAATTACTTACTCGGCATAAGATTTTAATTTATGCTGATGATGCAATTCAATTTAGTTAGATTCTTCTAGGTAATCAAGTCAAAATTAGTAGAGCTAATTATGATTATTCATCATTTTGAGGGTATAAAATACACAAGATCTATCTCCAAGCTGATTTAGCTGATTCCTTATAGGCTTTAAAGGTCCAGTGTGTAACATCAATTGACAGAAACTGAATATAATATTCATAGGTTTTCATTAGTGTATAATCATCTGAATTTAGGAATTGTTGTGTTTTTGTTACCTTAAAATTTTTATCTACTGAGGGAGCAGGTACTCTTCCATGAAGGCTGCCATGTTGAACCGCCATTTCTCCAGTAGCTCAGAATGGACAAACCAAACACTGGCTGAAGATAGGGCCTTTCATGTTTTTTGCAAGTCTTGAGACTCCTGCACACTTCACAGCACCTTCCTAGGTCATCAAATACCAATGTGAGTGGTGTTCAGTTGGCTGCAGTCTGCAATTTCACCGCTAGATGCCACTAAATCCTGGTCCTTTAAGTATAGGGATTTTCATTAGTTATCTTAAAGACTTGTACTGGATAAAGTTTGCTCTTTTTCTTCAAACAGTTGAGATGACCTAAGATGACACTGAAAGGTCTTGTAGTCATTGTCCACATTTTTTGTGTGTCACATTCATGTGTGCTGTATCACTTTCAAATGCTTCTGGTGTTACTTTTATGTAAAGAAAATCCTGAAAATGTTCCATTGTACATTTTTTAAAATATGGCACAAACAGTGTTGTTAAGATATAGGTAGTTTGACATCTAAACTTGGTGGAGTGTATTATTATGTTGTTGATTAATTACTTAAATGCTAGGTCTGAAAGGTGTGTTTCTGTGAGTGTTTCTAAAGTCCAGGTGATCAGAAATCTTGTTTTGCACAACCACCAGATAATAATATTTACTGGTCGACACAAAGCAGCCAATTTTTGAGGAGATGGAATTAGAAAATAAATAAATTCAACGATTAATCAATCATAATAAATAGTTATTTTTCTGTAGTTCGACTCATGAATTGACTAATCATGGTAGATATAGAATGGTTTATTAATGGCCGTAGGACTACCCGTTTAGATGACAATATCATCTAAAACTCTTCACACATGTAAAACAAAAACATTGTATATAGCTTGCTGGAGTTAACGAATAACCACTGTTTAATCTAATGTCAGAGGCTAGTGTTTGCTGTTAAATATTTGATTAAAGGACCCTCAAATATCAGTATCCCCATCACATTTCAGCCTTTATCATATAAGGCAAGACTTCATATCAAATGCTGCTGGTCCTGACAGTGTGAAGCAACAACATGGACAGTTTCCCAGACACCTTACATGAATGTTCTTATATAAGAAGTCATTTGAGACATTTGCCACCTCAACTTGATAAGGTTAGGCAACACAAAGACACATGCAGCCTCACATTGCCTAAACACGAACACACAGACACACACACTTCCTTCATCACCTCCTCTAGCTACTGTCGTCAGTCATCCGGAGACACTTCAACCCAATCACAGAGATAGCAAACCTGAGAACGTGTTCATTTGGTAGTGTTGGCAGGAACTACAGTAGAGGCCTCAAGGTCATGACTGCCTCCTTGCACATGAACACTGAACATTGAGCCATACAATGCTGGAAGAATCTGTCTTTTTAACATTTTGTGGAAAGAAAGACCTTTAAAAAAAACATATGATTCAGTTGGAGTTCAGTCTGAGGTCCAATGTTGTTTCAACATTTATTCTTTCCTGTCTAGTTAAAAAACTACCTTGATAGTTTGTCACCACTTTTACTACATTAAGCAGTGTAATAAATGCCTTAGCAGTATTATATTCATGCATTTTCGTTGAGCCTATTAAATCCTGGACTGGTTTGCATTTGTTTCGCCTTCATGGTTTTTGCACAATGCTGAAGCTGCAGCAGTGATGGAAGTTAAGGAAGATGACTTATAGGAAGTTATATAGCAGTTTCATGTAATCAGTATCATATCCCTGTCAGCCAGCAACTTATAACACAGTTTATGCATGATGGTCCAACACATCAAGAGATAATTATACAGAAGACTATTTTAATTGCACTGCCCAGAAGAATGCACTACAGTCTTTATTTATTCATCCATGTGTGACACGTAATGTAACGTAATGTCTCTGTGATTCTAATAGTAATACAAGTATTGATAATTTCCAATTTACTGAAGCAGGCAGTGAACACTGTATTTAGAAGTCTACATAATTAGTAGAGGTTGACATTTGTTACATTCAGTGACATATAATACTTTTTCCCGTATTATCTCAAAACCTGCTCATGCCATAACATATCCTACCTGTGAGTGTTTATAGATATTCTTACCAGTTTCAATAACAGTACTGGCGCTTACGTAAGTCCTCAGAGGATTAGCAAAACCATTGGTAAGATTACCAGAGTCACGCGCGCAGCTGTAATCCACAGCATATCGCCAACTCCTCAGCAGGACATACTACCTCTTCACCCCAACCAACCCAGAGTTCCTGTTTATCCCAGTCTTTCATCTGAGCTACAATCCCAGTCTCAACCTTTGCCCAAGAAAATCCTCTCCACTTCTTCCAGTCTATTGTCTTTAATCCACTATTGCTTATTTATCAAAGATTACCCACCCTGTACCACTTGGTTTCCTGACCCAAAACAAGGGCCCTGTAATTCAGAACTTTTTAGTTATTGGAGGCTTCTTCATAATAGGATAACTTACATGTCCTTCGTAAAAAGGTCTATCCATCAGTATATAGAAATATGTTTCAGAATGCCCATTATTATGCTCACCCTGTAAGTAGTAAAGTAAACCATCTCTCCGTTTCCCTTCACAGGCTCCATCATTCCCCAGGTACGTTTGGGTGAAGTTTCCTTTGTCGTGACAGAGTTTGGTTCTTCAAGTTAAGACTGTCTATAGGAAAACCTCCACCATATTTGATCAACAAGATAATCCAGTATCAATCCAAGGACTCAATGAGAAAAACCTAAGAGCTACATTACAAACGGTAGGTTTCTTATCCCTATCCATTTAGATATTCATCATATAGAGAATACTTAAGATTTGGATTGATATTAAATGTGAATATATGCAACAGTTTAAGAGAGAAAGGTCTCTTTTGATGTGCATGTGCTGTGTTTCAGGACAGTTTTGTAATATGGACTTTATCTTTACTTTCCATTCTCTTTATCTTTGTTCTTTTTTCTTTTCAAGACAGGAAGTGTGTTAAACAAGAAGGTCCTAAAGCAAAGGGATACAAAACAGACAACCAACATCTCAGTAAAGAGAACCAAGAAAGAGACTCTTTCCCCGAAAGCTCAATGCTTTTACTGAGCATGTGTCATAAAGAGACGTCAACACACAAGCAAAGATGAACCCTTATGTCACCTCACACTTCAGGAGGGATCTATTTCCCCATTTCCATTTGTTGTAGACTATTGTCTATCTGTCTGTTACTGGTTGAATGAAATGGCCTCTTTTATATTTGTACAGTTATAGCAGTAGCTCTTGTCTATTATTTTACAGTTCTCATTGTACTTGCCACAGTACTGGGTTACAGTTGAGGGTTGGATTCTGTCCACTGTTCCAAAGAGACTGGATGTGGACACTCTTGTATAGGTCAGGATTCAGTTGTAGAGTTCAAATGGTTGGGCAAGGTAAATACTAACTAAACACTACAAGCATACATTTACATTGCCTGATACATTTTTCTTTGCATATAATATTTTTTTTATTTTATTTGTGGAAAATCTCACTGATGTTCACATAGCCTTTTGTGATTTGGTTCAAACAGAGATGCTGAGTTAGAGACTATAATCCACTATAGTTACCCTCTCAGCCGCCTTAGTTCTCAGCTCTTCTCAGCTCTTCTGCTTCAGTGGCATACACCTGATTTTGGCTCCAGACCTCCAGAAAACTAGAAAACTTCCTCAGGTGACCTGTGTGCTTACCTTTTCCCTCATATAAATCGGCCACTTAAAGTTAAAATCCTGAGTAATGTTGGAGATAGATCAAAGTAATCTCTCTCTGCTGTTTTCTTCCCTTCTTTTTATCTTTTGTCAGGCATTGGCGATTTCTCAGCCGTAATGCTGAGCTGTAATGAGGTATGTCTGCTCTGAGACACTAACTGTTGCAGGTGATTGCTAACAGCCGTGTAGTTCAGGTCAATATTATCCACGCAACAGTCAGTAGATTTGATCTTCACCAGATTAACAATGGCCATCAAACAGATATGCAGACCCCTTGAAAAACAATGTGAAATTGTGAAAGCAGTGACATGATTCTTCCAGTTGGGGCCCTCTTGTTGGGTCAAAGTGACATTTCCTAGACTTATGAAGACAACTGCAAGTTGCAAGACTACTCTAAGGCTGCTGTAACAGATACATCGTTTGAACCTACTTATGAAATTATGTGTACTATATTTAATGCTTTATCCAAGATGTATTGGCACTGTATTCTGAATGACGAATGACGGTAGGCATTTGATGTACTGAAAGTGTTCTATTCTTTGTTTCCTCATGCCCATACCAAGGGGTTGTGAAATTGAGAAGAACTTTGATCGTAAGAATTAGCATGTTTTTTGCTTTTTAGACTGCATGTTGGAAATAATTTTATCATATCATCCCATTTGAAGTTAGTTTGGATGTCTGCATCTTGTCTCAGTATTATGGAAGGTACCCTGTAATGAGCTGTATATCCTTGATATGTTTCCTACTCCATTGCATTATCAGTCTATAGCTTTCATTAATTGATACCTGCTCGAGGCTTCCCTTTTGTGGTTTTGAACTGAACAGAACCAATCCTGCATGCTTTTCTGATGTCTGTTGAGGTCAATCCAACCCTACCAGTCCTGGTCAAGAGAATTTCTGCAAACTGGGCATCACAGAAATAGACTCTTTGGGTTACCGCTGACATTTCTTTTCAGCTCACCTCACTTACTTAAGTGAGTTTTATTATTTAAGGACATTAATTGTGAATGAATACACCTGTGGACCTACTTCAAGAAAGCCCCCTTTGTTGCTTAGGGCTCCGTTGATGAATATATAGACAATACTAGGAAACAAAATGACAAGTTGGGGAAACTAAGTGACTGATCAATGGCCTTGGAGGGAATTATTAGATTGCCCACTATAGACTTGCAACTATCTCTTCATTAAGAGGGATTTAAAGACTGACTGTGTTATAAGCTCCACAAGGCGCTTAATTACCACATCAACAATCAAGTCAAGGTTCACTGAGGAATACTGAGCAACTGAACTTCTGCATAAGAGAGAAGAGATTTTATAGCGCATGATGGGAGCGGCACGTGTGAAACGCCGCTTCAGTGCTGTGGTGGATGGGCCAGTGGAGGAAGAGGAGGTCATGAGGCTGGCACAGAGTGCTGCAGACACGGCTAGGGCAGGGGGGAGTCCAACAGGGTCAGGGACCCCAACCAGCCCCTCCCCGACCCATGCCCTGAACGGCAAAACTCTACCTCTCCAGAGCAACACCAACAATGCACGGAGGCAGAGTGCCATTGGAGAGTCAGTTGGAGGAGATGCAGGAGAAGGCGGGATGAGAGCTGCAGGAATGTGCTCAGGACTAAGGAATGAAAGAGGCAGTCGTGTAGGAGGAAGAGGTAAAGGCCGGTCATCCTCGGACCAGGATTCACTCTCTTCCCCCTCCACTACCAGCCGCCGGCGCACTAGGCGCTCAAGCCGCCGGCCCCGACAACGCTTTGTGGGCAAGGACGGACGCTGCAACGTCACCTTCGTCAACATGAGCGAGAGGGGCCAGCGCTACCTCAGCGACCTCTTTACCACATGTGTGGACATCCGCTGGCGCTGGATGCTTGTCATCTTCACCCTCTCCTTCCTTCTCTCCTGGCTGCTCTTTGGATTTGCCTTCTGGCTCATTGCCTCCATGCATGGGGACCTCTCCATTCGGCTTACCCCCAGCTCCAGTTCCTCTCCGGGATCAGGAGAGGCCGGTTCTGGAGGAGAGTCCGATAGAGAGGCAGTGGTTGAGGAACCATGCTTCCTCCAGGTTAACAGCTTCATGGCTGCCTTTCTCTTCTCCTTGGAGACGCAGACATCCATTGGTTACGGATTCAGAAGCGTGACCGAAGAATGTCCCCTGGCGGTGGTGGCGGTCGTTTTGCAGTGCATTGTGGGCTGCATTATTGACGCCTTCATCATCGGGGCAGTCATGGCAAAGATTGCCAAGCCCAAGAAGCGCAACGGGACATTGTTGTTCTCTGAAACAGCTGTGGTGGCGCTGAGGGATGGGAAACTCTGCATGATGTGGAGGGTCGGAAACCTACGCAAGAGCCACCTGGTAGAAGCACATGTTCGAGCACAACTACTGAAGGTAAGTAGAGAGAGGGATAATGACCATGATGAAAAAATTAAAGAGGTCAAAAAATATGGCAATGATAAAAGAGACTTTCCCTTTTTGAGTAAAAGGTCAACAAGCTAAATTGGAAATAGGAAAACAGACAAACAGGGAAAAGTAAAAGAATGTAACAAAAAATAGATGCTGCTTTGTGAGAGATAACGGTAGAGGAAAAAAAGGTTGTAGTAGAGAGAATGAGAGTGCTGAGACCATCTGGCCTGTATTCTGTGGACTGTCGTTAATGAGAGCTTGTTTTATTTTCCCTCAGGGGTTAGGAAGATTTACCATGGATTAACTTGCCCACAATTCTTTAACTGAGAACCATTGTCCTTCGTCAACTCATTTTCCCTTGTGTGTACTGTATGTGGGTTAGAGTATTGTACTATATGCTAATGTTTTCCTTGATGTCTGGCATTATGTGGGTTATTTTAAATGTTTCCTTTTTTGTGAATATGTTGTCATTATTAATGCTGTATGTGTATTCATGTGTGTATGCTGAGGGTCCGGAGGGTCAGAATCTGGGGAAAATTGAGGCTACAGCATAGACAATTTGATCTCTCCTAACAGCATGACCATATCAAAGTTCAGACAGGGCAGATGGGATTAAGTTTGCGAGGATCAAAGAAATACAATTCTAAATACTGGAACTGGATATTGTTCCATAGTAAGGGTTGGGTGAGTGATAAGCCTATGCATGGGTGGTATGACTAAAGATTGGCATAGACAAATTTAACTAAATATAATAATAACCAAATACTAAGCTTTTGAGTCAGGGTAAGTAATTTAATTTCCTGTTTTTTTTTCAGATGACCTTAGGAAATGGTGTCAGGTTTATTTAAAATGACATACAAATTCCCTCTTTTCTATACCATGGTGTTGCATTTTATATCCAGAATTACAGTTTAATTTCATTTCACTCAATCATGTCCCATCTGCCTTTGGCTGTTGTTTGTTTCATATTGGAAATCGTTTCTAGTCTCCATTCAATATTTTACCACATGTGAAAATCAATTTTGCAACATCATAACTACGTAACACAACTAATGTGGAAAGTATTATGTACTATATAGTGACTTTAGTTTACTCTTTACTCCCAACTTCAGCCAAGGGTGACAGAAGAGGGAGAGTTCCTCCCGCTGGACAATGCGGACATCAACGTGGGTTTTGACACTGGCACCGACCGCATCTTCTTGGTCTCCCCAGTGACAATTGTCCACGAGATCAACGACGAGTCACCCTTCTTCGAGATCGACCGTAAGACCCTGGAGAGTGACTCTGAGTTGGAGGTGGTGGTCATACTCGAGGGCATGGTTGAGGCCACAGCCATGACCACACAGTGCCGTAGCTCCTATCTGGCTTCTGAAATCCTCTGGGGACACCGTTTCGAACCAGTGCTCTTCGAGAGGAAAGATTGCTACCAGGTCAGAAAGGAAGAATAGCGATATAGGATGTCTGGAAGTCCTTCCCTTTCCTTAATGCTGTCTGCAGTGGTATCAATTTCTTCACAATAGTTGGGATTGATGTATATCTTATGTGTTTTTACCCACAGTAGTGGTGTAGCTCTAGGGATATAATAAATGAAATATCTTAACTATTAAATCGATTGGCACAAAGGTTTGTAGAAGCATTCATGGTTCGCAGATGATGTATCCTAATGACTCTGGTGATCCCCTGACTTGTTTGTAGCACTATCAACAGGTCTAAATTTTAATATATTCAGTACTTTGTATTATTAGCAAACATCTGCAAAATTCATGACATTGCCATCAGCCTTGGTTGTACATTGTGGTTAGTGCTCGCAAATGTTAGCATGCAAACACACTAAACTAAGACTGTGAAGATTGTGAACATTAACCTGCTAAACATTAGCATGTAAGCATTGTTATTGTGTGCATGTCAGCATTTACCCAAATATAGCCTCACAGAGTCACTAGCTTGTCTTTGTTATCATGCAAATAAAATGTATATATATATTCTTGTCTTCTGCCCTTTTTCCAGGTGGACTACTCATTCTTCCATCGGACATATGAAATTCCAGACACACCATCGTGCAGTGCTAAAGAGCTGGCCGAGCAGAAGTACATTCAAAGCTCACGTTCGTCATTCTGCTATGAGAATGAAGTGGCTCTGCAACTCGTCTCCCCTGATGATGAGCCTGACCAAGACCCCGAATGTCCCTCCCCACCGACCCGAAGACAATCCTTGGCAGAACATCTCCACTACAACTGAACTTGTGGAATAGGAGACCTTCAGGGAAAAGAGACAGGAAGTTGGACCAGAGGTTAGAGGAAGAACAGGCAAAAAGAGAGGGTTAGAGAAGTAGGAATGGGCAGACCAGGATACACTAGGCAGGATTAAAATCTTTCTCTTTATCTTAAAAGATAGAACCATGGATTTTCCAGTGTGAGGATAAAGGATAGGAAGTCCAGGAGAAGCAAGTCAAGAGATTGACTATAAGTTTTAAAGGTTTGCAAGAGTACTACTCTACAGATTAGATTGAACAGAGAAATAGAAATGATATGGACAGATAGAGAAACAGTGGGGGGTTTGGGGTCAGTCTATAGGGGAGATGGGTTACTACACTGACCTAGTTGTCTGATTGGTCCTGGCAATCTTTCAGGGTAATTGAAAACCTGTCTGCTAAGTCTCACATCTGGCCCATCACTACCACAACACGCTCATCTGGCTTTAATGCCTGCCTGTCAGAATATACAACAGCACCCCATGGTGGATCTAACCTGCAACTGCTCCTCCAGTTTTATGATCCGCAGAAAATTGTGACCTTTATTTTAGGTGGCTTCTGTATAAAAATGAGTGGTAGTGTACCTACTGAGGTACAACTCAGGAATGTCTTCCACTGTGATGCTGATTTATCATTTTGATGCTTTATTTTCTTATGGTAAGTATGGATAGTGCACATTTTGTGATACTGTGAGCAGGGGGATGTGTGAGAATGTAGTATTAGGCTAGGCTACTTGCAGAGCCAAAGCAGAACAACAGTAACATGGAGAAACAGCTGAAAACTAGCAGCGGTTTTGAGCAGTTTCTTTTCCATGTTACGAGCTGTATGTTGTTTTGTTTTTTGGCTTTTTTCTCTGTGTCATGCAAAAAAAGGTTCACTGATTGTAACATTTGCTTTGTTTAAATCTTGAATGGCATGTGGTCAGAGGAAGCATGGTAGTCATTTTCAAACCACTGCAATGATAAACAGATGACAGATGACGATGTCTGTATCCAGATCAGTTAATGACCACATGTTTTTTCTTGCACTACTATCTACGGTATCTTCTCATGTTCTATGTTGCTAAAATCAACCACATTTGTAATGTTTTGCTTATACTTTTGGATTCCAGCACTTTGCGGCTGAGCTATGACATTATAATCTTTGTTTAAGTGTCTTGACACTTGGGAGACCCTTGACAGTTCGGACTGAATCCAAAGCAAAAGGGGTTGCTATCATTAACTCTGTAAATGCGCTGGAGGCCTACAGTCATCTCCAACATCATGAGAACACAACTGAGCTTAACTGAGTGGGAGAGGTGTTCTAACAATGTTGCTGGCTTGCCGTACTTTTGTCTGAGAATAAAACAACTGTCTAACATCAGCACAATTGAACTGGAAATTACACCACATTCATATAAATTATACTGTATTTTTGTGCCCATAAAATCATGTGACACCTTATTCTTATTCTAAAAGTGTAGTGAGCGGTGCCTTCATAACAAACCAGAGATTTTTCAACTGGCCCGTCATCTGTAGCGGTTAATTTCATGTTTAAAATGTGCTTAAAGCTTATTTTTGTTGTGTGTATTTTCATAATAATGCTGGTTATGCAGGTGTTTGTCAATCAATTTAACATTTGCAGTATGTTGTTCTAAGTAGACAAAACAATGTCTGCAAATGAATTACTGTGAATCTGCTCAGTAACTGAGAACATGAACATGCACTGATAACATTAAGACGCTTTTAGCCGTATTGTATTGTAGGATATGTAATAGTTACACTTTGTAGTTATATTACAAAGCACCTGGAATGTTCTCGTTTATTTTAGATCCTGTAATAATTTGCAGTTAATTATGCCACCTGAGTATTTAAGATTACAGAAGGTGTTGGGAAAGGAAATGTAACTCAGTGTGAGGAGTGCAACATGATATTGAGCGTTGACCAACAATCAGCCTGTCCAACGCACAGCCTGGAAACTTGTTATTTGTACTTTGCACAAAAGTAATACATGGAGACTAATATCACTAATGAAGCTCTACAACAGCACAGTAGTGTTGCTGGATCAGCACAGGTTAACCTCAGTGCATCAGTCGCAGTGTTTCACTCCAGTTTTTGAACGTTTTTTTTATGGTTACCTCAGGGTTGTTGAGGTATTGATAACATATTCTCTGTTACAATTAGTGTTAATACTGTTCTATGTTTGTGTCCTCCCTTACACTTTTCCTTTATGGTCACCATGTTCTATTTATAGGCTGCATGGTGGGTCAACTCGTTCACCCTGCCTCCACTTCCATGAAATGTAACTTGACCTTTCAGCACCATCACTCTGACAACGATAGCACTTTTTGAACACCCCAGAAAGAAATAGACGGATTATTTGGTAATTTCACTGGTTGCTTAGGATTCACAACTTACAGTACACATAATAATTTTTTTTTTAAATCATAGGTATTTATAATATACATAGTGTAAAAATGCATAGTATACTGTAATACTGCATACATTTTAATGATATAGTGAGATGAAACCAATAAAAGCTGTAACTACCTTTCCTAGGTTATTTTTCTAAAAAGAAAGGGAAACCTCTCTGCTCTAACATTGAAATGTAATTTCAGAGCTGCCTCAGGCACAGAGCACTTCCAAACTGAACTGTGTTGTAGAGCAAATAAAACACTGTGATTGAATTGCAATTATTGGTTGCCTCTTCATTTGTTCTCCTAGTTGCTGTCCTTGTAACCCCCATCGCACACCTACGGACCACTTTAAAAATGTAATCCAGATGGCAAGTGTAGACTAGTTTATTAGGGCTCACACTCTTTTTCTTATATTTGTGTTATATGTTATTTACAATGGCCACAACTCTTTATTTCCACTGTTTCCGTCTGTCACATAATTTGGACCTAAACCCTGAAACCAAACCATAAATATTTTTAATTTTTTTATAGGAACAGGTGGAAGAATGTGAAAACCTTATGATGTAAATAAAATGATGGAGTTGTACAACTTTAAGAGTATTAATTTGCTTTTTAGTGTGTTGTCAGAGGTGCACCTTCAGCCAAACTATCACTGCTGAAATCAGAACAAATTAATAATATTTATAGCCACAGCCTACATAGCCTATAGAAAGAAACATATATAGATAACATTTATTTTTCTCTTTTTTAGGCTTGATTCTGCTCCATGTCAGTGCCATAACTCTAGTGACATACTGAGAAGTACAAAAATATATTAATCATGTTATAAAATATGTCTATTATGATTATAGCCACAATTACACAGATTATTTACTTAAAATACTCCAAAATGTGAAGCTTAATTTGACTAACTTAATAAAAGGCTACAAAACATATCAGACATTACATTGGCGTAAATATTAACTGGTAGTGTGTGTGTGTGTGTGTGTGTGTGTGTGTAGAGCCTGGTACCTCGGATACGCGGGTTCAGTCGGATTTTCGAGGCTGATCTGAATCACGCGCCTGGAGTCAGATCATTCCAAGCGAACCGTAGGTTATGTTTGGACGGTGACTCAAACAAATCCGATCCCAGATCTGTGTCTGCGGACACTCGCCGCCACTGAGTGGTAAACAAAGGGCGCGCAAATCTCCCTACTTTAGCGCGAGAGTGCCGCACAGGCACCTGCTGCAGCGCTCCGATTGGCTGTTGGAGACGTCACTCACGCGTAGCCCCGCCCCTCGACCGTTAGCATTGGCTAACGGCTGAGATTGTCGCGCAGCCCGGAGCTCCATTCGTCGCCGCACCCGGTTGATGCCCGCTCTGGGGCGGAAAGGTCCCGTTGTATTCATGAGGCGGGTCTTCTGCTCGGTTGTAGATTTTGATTGGAGTTATTTCTCATTGAGGTTGGGCTAAAAACCGTCTTCTCGCAGCTGTTTGGTCCGCTAGCAGGAAGCCCGTCTGCGGCGCTGAAGCCGTCGCCGTGCCCTCACTGCTCTCTGTCTACTTTATTCTCAGTGAGGAGTGTGAGTGCGGCTCCACTGAGGAGCGCTGCAATGATAAAAGCCGCATATGCGGTAGGCTACACACCTATCAGGCAGCAAAATACCCAAGAAACAGCCTCACCCCGGTTCTCCTCGCACCACAGCCTTATCCACGACACAGAGCGGAACCCGAAGGTGAGAGATTTAATTGCCTTTACTCTAATCCAACTCGTAAATAGCCAGTGTAATATCCCAAAACGTATCATATTTCAGTGGAGCTGGCTAACCTCGCTAGGTTGGTCTAAATGCGGTGGTAATAACGCTGCTGGGACTAAAACCTTTCGTACTGGTTTGATCTTTATGTACGCCTTCGAAGAGAGGCTTACATCGAGATGACCTGAAGTCTGGCTAAGGAAAACTGTGTCTGCCTAATGGCCATATTACAAGGGATTTCGACCCATATAATTACACGGTATAGGCCTGCTGTGATCTTTGTGTGGTATAATAATAACACCTAGCTATTATCCCCCAGTGAAAATGGCTTTGGGGTTGTTTGGCTGCCACATGCATGCGGTTCACAGAGTCAATTAAAGGCTGGGGCCCATGTGATTGTCCATGTCTTATGTTCAAGGTGTGGTTGCCTTCGTCAGTTTTTGTGTGTGTGTGTGTGTGTGTGTGTGTGTGTGTGTGTGTGTGCTGGAGCTACAGTCCTCAAATGCAGGTAATTTATAGGGGTCACACCGCAGCTGTACCGCCTCTGCAGCCGCACTGTAATTATCATAGCCAGTGGCTTAATAATGTCACCTCTCTCCTCACTGTCCGCTAAAGTGCGCAGATGCCACAATATCATCACCGGTGCAATTCGCATGAAAGCTGGAGAAGGGGAAGGAAAAAAAGGCGTCTCCTGCTCCCCCACCCGTTTAACACACGCACAATCACGCGCAGGCACCCACACATTAATCACACACACACCACACACACACGAGACAGATAGACCACCAGGCCCCCCCGCAGTGAAACCTCAGTTAAAACTCACTGTCTGTGGGCTGCTGCTTGGTGTTGCTATGGAGGAGAGCAGTCAGGTTTTTGGCAAACTCCAGCTGCTGCAGGACGAGTTTGCTGGTCAGTCCAGGCTGTACTGCGACAACCTGTGAGGTCTGTGTGTGTGTGTGGTGTGTGTGCTGGTGTGTGTGAAGACTGTGCTTTAGGAGGATCATTAGCATTGATAGGACCCAGCAGCATCCTACACTGCAGCTGTGGGGTCAGCATGCAAAGTGCTCACAGGACAAAAGAGTTGGTCATATCAACCGGTCTGTGGTGACCGGGTCTGTTTCACTGTAGTAGATAATGTAGCTATGCAAACGTTAAAACTGTAACTCTCAGTAGTTTTCATTTCTTACATCTCTTAGGTTTGTAGGCAGATTCTTATTTTAAGAATAAAGTCTGGCTTTCTGTTTGTCTCAGTTAGCGAAACCTATAAAAAGACCAATGAACTAATGATGATGATGAAGAAGAAGTATTGTCTGTGTAGCCAAAGCCTGATAACTCTTTTGTGCATAGGCTTTTATTGTTGTCCATAAACTATTACAAACACACCAGTCAGCCACACTCATGTGAAGATGTTAAGTTCAAACTGTAATTATTTACACAGTCCACATATCTGCCCTGTCTCTAAGCCAGGAAGTGATGGTTGGTTAGTCTTTTCACTTGTTAACAATAAGAAACATATTCTAACTTTTTCCTATTGTGCCAGCCTTTAAGAACAGATACACAGCTGTTTTTATGCCACTGAGGAATCACATATTTCCATACTGAGTGGCTGGGCGGTGTCGACTCTTTTGTGAGCATACTCCACACCCAGAGTCATATTGGAGTAACAGGTATGGTTAAGGCAGGGTTGGGGACTGGGCCCTGTCATGAACAGACAGCAGGAGAAAACTGAGACTGAGATACACTGCAGGAATCAAGCCAAATGACATACCTGCTGAGGCATGGAGACGCCTAATAGTTCACACACACACACACACACACACACACACACACACACCATACTGAACGACAGGTTGACATTTGCTCCACTCAAGTGTGTTTCATTCTGTTACTTAGGTGGACAATGTGTCAGCTCCATAAAACCTGATTTGGTAATCATAATTATCTGTTACACATTATTGTGAAATCATTTCTTCATCACATTAATCCATCGACAGTTCATCATCATTCAGAGTCCCAGCTGGGCTGCTGGAAGGGTTTTCATTCAAGTTTTCTTCTTTTCATCTCGGCTGCCACGTTAAATTAAGGTCATCAAACTCCATAGATTCCTATGGACCATTAAAGAACAGCCTTTCCAAAAATATATCAAGATGCAATAGTAATTTGTTTAAATATAAATAATGATAAGTGTTTTGTTTTTTTAAGTTACAATCTAATAAGTCTATTCATGATATCATGAGCTGCATGTATGTCAATAGCCTTGTGCTAACATTCAGTAGGTTTTTATCTGTATGGCTGCGATTAATAACATTTTCATTATGGTTTAATCTACTGATTATTTACTCGATGAATTGTTTGGTCTGTCAGCAAATAGCGACAAATGGCCACCACTGGTTCAAAGAGACCATGGCAATGTGTTCAAATGTTTTCAAATGTCTTCTTTTGTCTGACTGAGTTCACACCTGGAAGTATTCTGTTTACTATCATAAAAGACTTAAAAAAACAAACAATATTCACATTTGAGAAGCTGAAAGTTTTCCCATTTTTATGTAAAAATAGTTCTGATTGATTTTCTGTCAGTCGACCAATTGTTTCAACAACTAGTCCATCTGAAACAATGTCATTTCTACTAGCCTCAATGGAAAGTTTTAGAGTCACGAGTTCTCCTCCAGCAAGAGGACTTTTCTCACTGAATCACTGCTGCACATTATTTCTTAGTTGTCAGAAACTAGAAACATCCTGTTATAGTACTACAGTCACTCTGACTGGAGATTGTCTTCATGTTCCAGAGTAGTAAATACTTCTCGCTGCTGTCACCTCATCTTTAATAGGATGCTGGGTCCAAACCAACATTTCGTTTCCACTAGTTCTCAGTGAGTGAGTTTTAGTCCTGTAGTAGAAGGATCCTTCATTTTCTTTCAGTTAACAGAAGATTCACTCCATTTCGATCCTCTCTCCTCACTCCCATCCCACCCTATTTCCTTCTTCCTCACCATCCCTCCCCCTCTGACTGTCATGTCAGTTTACTCAGGCGATTGATGTATCTTGCTGTTCCTCGACCCTCCATCCCTTCACCCCTCCACCCACCGATTTCTCCGTCTTTCTTCCTCCCTTCTTCTCCTTGATTTGCTGTGTCTTACAATTAGGCCATCCCTGACCCAATCTCAGCTGGATATGGCCTGCATGCTACTTGCGTGCTACTACTGCTCTTCCTTTATGTGTGGGTGGGTGGGTGGGGGGACCACACTGGGTATGTGCGTGTGTGTGTGGTTTGACACAGAAACACATCAGTTCATTGTCCGATCAGGTCCTTTACATCATCCACCGCTCCATTTTTAAGCTCCCACAAGACACGAGGCCCGTGATAAAAAATGCTAAACAGACCACTTTTATTGTCCCGTTTTTTTGCTCCCTTTTCTTTTCGTCAGGTGCCAGTAGACCATGACCAGGGCCAACGGGGCGCGTGCCAAACGATTTCACCCGCTTCCTGTCCTCCGGGGGCGGGAGCCAGGGTCTCCTACCTCCAACGCCCGTGTTAACCCGCGCCAGCCAAGCTGATTGGGCGCAAACGACTGGGTGTGGTCCGTCAGAGAAGCATGTGCTTTGAGGTTAGCGGGGTATGTCCGTTTAGAAGAAAAAGGCCTGATTTTTGTTTTTGGTTTCCAAACAACACACCGACGTTATTCAAAATCAAAGTGGAACTGCCGAAGGCTTAAACATGTTGATTTCAGGGCAAATGCAATTTATGTTTACAACTCGTTTTCCACATTCCTGTTCTCATTATCTAAGAATTAATTTCTGTACATAATTACTTCCAAGTGTAGCCCTCGACCTGAAGGTGTGTCAAAACAGGTGAGGCAAAGCCAGCATAGGGGTGTGCATTTTTGTATGTCATTTTATCATATCTTCATGAGTTGTATCCCACGACAATGCCCTATTTTCCATGCGTTCCTTTGTCCTATTAGATTCTTAATATCCTTTGTGGATGCTTTCTAACACATTTTAGGAACTAATGACTA